CAGGGAGAGGGAAGTCTCAGAGATATGAAGATATCCATCCTCATATCTAAAGAACTGTCAAAAAAAAATAAGGTAACATTCTCTGTTGTTCCTGATGAGTGAGACTCTAGGAAAGCGTCTGATTAAAAATACAAAGCTAACTAACAATTACACGCCTTCCCAGCCATGAGTGAGTTTCCAACCTATCAGGGGAGATATTCAAGCAGAAGCTGTGTCACAACCTGGACTGGAAACTCTAGTACCTACCCAAAGGGGTGGAAGATCAGGTTGATTTTAGGGTTTTTGTTTTGTTTTGTTTTCTGTTCTATCTCCTTATACATGTGATGACCTTATTTTCTGAACCCCAAACCAAGACCTATGATCCTGTAAAATACTTTTATGTTGCTTTCAGATTTGAAAGACAGCCTAGCAGGTACAACCACCAAAATATTGTTACTTCTAGGAGATATCCGTGATTGAAATAATGGGGAAAATACATGCAATTGGAACTTCCCTGGATCAAAGAAGATGTGAAATCACTCTACAGTAGGCATCTACCACTCTGAATACTCACGTTTCAACCAAAAAGGCAGAAACTCTGCGTAAAAGTTTGTTATTTTTTGGCTGGGTGTGGTAGCTCACACCTGTAATCACAGAACTTTGGAAGGCCAAGGCAGGCAAATCACCTGAGATTGGGAGTTCAAGACCAGCAGAGCCAACATGATGAAACCATCTCTATTAAAAATACAAAACTCAGCCGGGTGTGGTGGCAGATGCCTGTAAGCACAGTTACTCTGGAGGCTGAGGCAGGAGAATCGCTTGAACCCAGAGATGGAGGTTGCAGTGAGCTGAGATCACACCACTATACTCCAGTCTGGGTGGCAGAGCAAGACTCCATCTTGGGGGGAAAAAAAGTTCCTTTTTTTTGTTCTTGCACAGCAAATTTTCTGGAACTAACACCTCTTCCTCCAAAGGCTGAGTGCCAAAATATAATTACAAATATAATTATAATCTAGTTCCTTCCCATTGAGAAAATCAAGAAGTAATTGGAAAAGCTTCTTGGAGCATCATCAAGATTTACAGGCCCCACTACAGGAGCTATGCAAACCCTTCCTTCATGACGTTGCTTCCACCTTTGTGCATATACACGGCAGATGTTCTAGACTGCAGCTCATCAAGATCCCAAACTATCCTTGTTTCTCCACCCTGGACCAGAGTGACTCCCCACCAACTCCACACTTTGGGGTTGTCATACTAAGAGTTGAGGGGCCAAAGACTCTCCCTTGGCCAAATCTGGACTCTACTCTGCCAGTGAGGAACTATTCAGACTGATTAAGATATAATTCTGGATAGCAGACATTGGGCTAGTATCAGCTGTTCCCTATTAGACATAATGTTCTTTTCAATTGACTACTGTGTTTCACACTGACAGTCATTTTTCACCCTGCAGAATTTCAAAGCCAAGAATCCTGTATTACAAAGTAAACAAACAAAATTAGACTCAAAATTGCCTTTTCTGATTTTGATATATTAATCAACTCTTCAGGAAAGCTTCTAAACACTTTCAATTACATCAAAACAGGCTGGAAACATTTTCCAACTTCAAAAAAAATTAGGCTTAGTTAAAGGTTTGTTTTCTATTCCATTGATACTCTATATTACATATTTGCAACTGTTTCTGTTTTAGTACAGATTGATTAATAGCATCAGTTCTAAAATCCCAGCATGTTCACACAAACACAAAAAAGTATTTCCATCTGTGATCTTCATTAACCAAGGGACATCTATCAATTTTGGCGTGTCTGCTTCTTCCTTCAGCTGCAGTCTTGAGTTCTTGCAAATCTCTGTGACTGTGAGCCTCAAAGTTGCCACTAAATACTAATTGTAGGGCAGGTGTGCACTTTTTTTTTTTTCTTCTTCTTCTTCTTTGAGACAGAGTTTCCCTCTTGTTGCCCAGGCTGGAGTGCAATGGCGCGATCTCAGCTCACCGCAACCTCCACCTCCTGGGTTCAAGCAATGCTCCTGCCTCAGCCTCCCGAGTAGCTGGGACTACAGGCATGCGCCACCAGCCCAGCTAATTTTTGTATTTTCAGTAGAGACGGGGTTTCACCATGTTGACCAGAATGGTCTCGATCTCTTGACCTCGTGATCCACCCAACTCATCCTCCCAAAGGGCTGGGATTATAGGCGTGAGCCACCACGCCCAGCCAGGTGTGCACTCTTGAGATGGAAGCCAAAAAAATGGATCAAATGAGCCAAAGAGAAAGAGAAGTCTTGACTCCCAAAAGAAGCAATCCCCTGTATGCTTTACACCTTACTTGACTGGGCAGGAAAACTGGCATTTGAACTAATAATGAAAATATGCTGAACAATGAAACAAGAAGCTGGTATGATCCATTGGGGATGTAAAAAAGAAAGTGTATACTGGACAATTATGTGCTTAACAGATTATATGATGCCAGCAGATAAAGCGCTTAAATTACTTCTATGGTTACCTTCTTTAAGAAGTGGAAATCATAGGAATAGTGCTACCAAGACAACTGAAATGTTTTCACATCCTTCCCTAAATGCATTCCTTAAGAAAAAAAAAAAAAGGCTTAAAACTGCTCCTGCTGCTACTTGCTCAAGTTTTTCCTAACCTTTAAAGAACTGTCATATCTGCTAGTTAAAATTGGCTAGTTATCAGAGTTTAATGAATCCCCACAGTTTGCAGTAGGTATTATGAGCAAGAATACAAAAAGAATTAGAATACAAATCTGTTTCCTCAAAAGGGGTTACAATCTGTAATAGAAAACGGATTTGGAAAAACACCTGCAAAACATGTAAAAATACTCGTGTGAAAATTAATGTGATCTACTATATAATTAGATGGGGACGTATATACCACTACATTGGGAATTTCACCTCCTTTATTAAAATGAAATGCAGAATTTTCAGCCATTGAAGGAGCTTCTCCAAGAGGATACGGGGGCTGGCTACTTTAGCACAGCTCCACTCTATGGAATTTCTTTCTCTCTTCTCTCTTCTCTCTCTCTCTCTGACACACACACACAGAGAGAGAGAGAGAAAGAGAGAGAGAGAGAGACAGAGAGAAGGAGAGACCACTTTTCTTGGCACTCAACATAAATGAGATAGATTAAAATTTTCAAAACTATTTTATTATTTCACTTTGTGCAAGATGCATAAAAGCAGTCAAGCTTATAAAGTCCAGCACAATAGCTACATAAACCCCCTAACCCCCAAGATCCTTATACAATCAGAATATTCCCATTCTTATTCCCCAAAGGAGCTAGTGATTTAAGACTAATCTGAGACGGCTGGCATTAGGGCCTGTTCTAAGATATTGCAAAATTAGGAATACATCTCTTATCTTCAGCAGAAACTGTACTTTAAGTCTTTATATCATGGTGGTGAAGCAATTTCAAGATGTCAGAAGATAGAGACTCATAAAAAGACCTCACATGTTTTTATTTCCTGTCAAATGCAATGCAAAACAATATCTCAGTATGATTCATACTGCTTCCAGTATTTTTGCCTAAAGATGGGAATTTCTAATCATATAAACCTGGTATTGCTCAGTTAGGGAGTGAAGCAAGAGAATGGAAAAAAAGTTTCACTTCTACCAGTGCGTTTTTTTGGGGAATGAGTTGGAAGGGGGTTTCCCAGCATGTAAACCAAGAATCCTGAGAAAGTTTTACATTTCTACAGCAGAAATTGAAAACCCACATTGACACCAAGTCACACCTTTGTTCTGCCTTATATGGGACAGGAAGGAATCAGTTTCTCACCAATCTCTCTCCAGACATACATACTAAAAAAAAGTGCTAGCAGGCAGAAGTATTCTCAATAAATAAGCTTTAAGCATAAGCAGATATATCTTAAGCTTTATTACATACTTCTTATTTTCTTTCTCGATGTAGATATACAGCAGCCTATCTATCAGAAAAAGGCTTAGGAGTCTCGTTCTTCGATTGAGAAAAATAATCATGGTCTATTAGTCTGTTTATTACTCAGAGAAGAATAATTTGCTATGTGGCAATGCCAAGGATTAAGACTCCACCTGGAGACCTTCCGAAGGGTCTCTCTTAACAGGATGCATCTGTTCAGTTCACTTCCAATTTGCTTTGCCTAAAGTGCTGATAGAAGGACTGATAGAAATACCGGACTTCACAGTGCCACCTTTAAACAAAACCCCATTCCACACATTCATGGTTTGGTCCTTAGAGGGTCCGAAGGCAAATCTCTTGATGAAACCACAGCATTTAAAGAAGAGTTACTCACAGAGTAAAAGGGGATATTATTGTCTCAGTAACTGTGATACAACTTTCTTATATTGCTATACAGAAATACCTGAAACTGGATAGTTTGCAAAGAAAGGAGGTTTTGTTGGCTCACAGTTAAGCAGGCTGTGTAAGAAGCATGGCTAGGGAGGGCTCAGGAAACTTAAAATCATGGCAAAGATGAAGGGGAAGCAGGCACATCTTACATGGCTGGAGCAGAAGGAAGAGAGAGAAGAGGGAAGTGCTACATACTTTAATGATCAGATCTCGTGATAACTCACTCAATGTCATAATAACAGCACAAGAAGGGAAATCCGTCCCCACAATCCAATCGCCTCCCACCAGGCCCCACTTACAACACTGGGAATTACAATTTGACATGAGATTTGGGCAGGGTCGTGGACCCAAACCATGTCAGTACTATACATGGTACAGACATGTAAACATGGTAGCCAAAATGCAGTGACTTATCAGGAATGAAAGGGAGGACAATTTTCTAAAGGTAGTAAGACTTCCCTGCAGACTTGATCATTATCCAATTGCACTTATTTTTAAAAGGCTCACATAAACTGTAACCCTGGTGAATTACATGAATCCATTAACATCTATGTGTAGTAATCACCCAGCAGAAAAATGTTACATATATGTCAAATTATGTTGGTTTCATTTAACATACCAATCTCAATTCACACATGCTCAGTTTTCTTAATCCACAGCTGCTATTGCATGATCACCTTAAAAAAAGAGAAAATTTAATTTTAAGAAATCTAATTGAGAAATTACATTAGAAAAACAGTACATCAATCAGCTCAAAGGAGATGGTCATGCTAATGTAACAAAAGGTTACCTCATTCCTTGTGCTCACTGAGGTAATCCCCATTCAAGTTGATATTCTTAGGTGAGCTGTGCTAAAAAATGATTGTATCCAAGGAGCTTAGTAGGGGAAAAAGAAACTGCAGCACAAAAAGAAATCTGATGAGATAAATTTTATTATTTAATATTTGTAAAATTGTACCTAAAATGCTAACTCAAGGATGAAGAAATGTCGCTGGTTAACATAAGTTTAAATACTTACAAATATTGAAATAGTGGAAATCGTCAAGTGAAAACACAAGAGACAAGGACAATGCTGTGCCTGATCCCATGAGCAATTTTCAGACATTAGCTAATTCTGACAACTATGCTCAAAGAACACAAAGAAATGAGAATTATAATAAAGTGATTTTACATGGTTTTGATTAGTGTGTCTGTTGGAAATAAAGAAGGCAAACTTAAATTGGCTTAAATAATGACTTTTATTATATCATGAAGCAGGAAGTCCAGAGCTAGAGTAGCTTCACGGTGAGTTCACTTAGTAATTCACTGATGTCAACAGGAACCTTCTTTATAACTTTCTACTCTTCCATCCTAAGCATGTTGGCTTGCCCTCTGAGCCTGGTTCTCTTCTAGATCCTAAAGATGGCTTCTGCAACTCCAGGCATCACATAAGAATGACAATCATCAGAGGCAGAAACGTTTGCTTCTAAGTGTAAATTTTACACAGCTAAGCCAAAGACTCCCCCTCAATAACTACTGGACAAAATCACATCACAAACCCATGTCTAAGTCAATCACTGGAAGGGTAGAATTAGAATTAGAATTAGAATGTCTGGTTTCGACTATTCAAGATTCATCCCCTCTCAAAGCTGATGGAAATTCTAACTTTCCCTAAAACACATGACTACCCAGTATTTGAAAAAATTTGGAGTTCCACCAGTAACAAATAAGGCTGGTGAGAATGACAGTGGGGTAGGCAGCTTGAAGTATCAACCACATATACCTAATAGAATTAGAATAGAGCTTAACTCACTACACTACGGCTCAATTCCTAGAGTTGACACAGTTGAATAGGTGGACAGCATCATGTATCTAAGATTAGCCTTTGTTGTTTTAGCAATATATCTTCATAAAGAGTTGGAAAAACATGACTCTCCCTTTAAAAGGCAGTAAGTGATTATAATTGAAGCACAAATCATTGCTAAATCCATATCATCTACATGGACCCAAAATAGATATTTCCTCTTTTATTGAAAAATCAAGGGTTCCTTTTACTGGAAATCTGAGTTCCAATGAGTTTCCAGTAACAGTTTCACATTACAGACACGCATTTGTAGTAAGTTTAAAGTGGTTAATTGGGCTCAATTTATCTAATGAGCTACTAGAGTGGTCAATTGTTATGCAAATTAGGGATCAAGGCTGTATTAAAAAGTAATGTATTGTATGACACATTACCTGAATATATTCCAATATACATTATTTCATTCTAAATTTTCATTTATCATATTGCTATCTCTCAGAAAAAATGGCTACAACAATACTTGATAACTGTGTGCTCTTCTCTAAAATACTTAATCAATTCTAATGAGAAATAATACTACTGAAATATTTTACTGTCTAAAGGATGTCGGGAAAGACAATGTGGTGTAATAATGAAGCAATCAACTAAGAAGTAGGAAACAGAATTCTAATTCTGATAGCATTTATTGAGTACTCACTATGTACCAGGCACTGTGCTAAGTGTTCAATCCATATTCATTTATTTAATTCTCCCAATAACTCTGTAAATGAGGTACTACGATTATTACATTTTCAAACTGAAGCACAAAACTGAGGCACAGAGTCACTTGCACAGGCTTACACACTTAGTAAGTGTCAGGGGCAAGATTCAAACCCAGACCACATGACGTCAGAGCCAAGGCACTTAACCGTGGTGCCATACCACCTCTCTAGTTCTGGAACTGCCACCAGCTGCTTAACTTGGCAGCGGCAGGGGATGGGGGTGTTACAGTTTTCTAATGAATTAAGAATTTGAGTAGAGATACTGAAGAACATTTCCAGCCCTAACACTAAAAGTGTCATGAAAGCCATGACCTTATAGACATTCTTCTCTGCCATATGGTTTATAATAAGATTACATTTATTACACAACTCAAATTTCTGGACTTTTTTCTTTTTTCTTTTCCATTTCTTTTTTTTTTTTTTTTTTTTTTTTTTTGAGTTGGATTCTCTGTCTCCCAGCCTGGAGTGCAGTGGTGCAATCTCAGATCACGGCAACCTCTGCCTCCCAGTATCAAGCAATTCTCATGCCTCAGCCTCCTGAGTAGCTAGGACTACAGGTGCATACCACCACGCTTGGCTAATTTTTTGTATTTTTAGTAGAGATGGGGTTTCACTGTGTTCACCAGGATGGTCTTGATCTCCTGACCTCGTGATCTGCTGGCCTCAGCCTCCCAAAGTGCTGGGATTACAGGCGTGAGCCACCGCACCCAGCTCCATCTCTCGACTTTCTAAGTATCAACAACTGCAAGGTAACTCAGAAGAAAGAACTGAAAGCCAACCATGACAAATAAGTCACATAAAAAATACATCCCCTTGGAGGAATAATGTTACAGTTTATGAGTACTAAATTCATAAGGTATCCCAAATACTAGTATGAGATCCACCTAGACGGCATTCTACAGAACTGAATTTCCTATACTATGGCTCCTGAATTTACCAAATATTTTTCAAAGCACACTACAATGTTTCGTGGCAATAAACAATGTAAAATTCTTCCCTCTGAGAGCAAAAATTCTTTCCTCTCTTTGAGCCTCCTAAAGAGTTAGAACTAAGGTATTTTAAACAATCTCACCATTATGAGTATTCATAGGATTTCTCAAAATATCCTCTTTGGGTGTAGCCAAACAGAGGCATAGAGATCTATACATTTGCAGAAGAATTAATATTACATTTTTTTCTCCAAATACTGTGTACTAACTACTCACTAGAAGGACCTGCCATTCAGATTACCTAAAGGGCGAAATCTGTAATCTAAAGGACTAAAGTCTCTAATCTTATTTTAAGGATACAAGCAGGATTGTGCAGCATCTTCCTGTGGTCTGTGAAGAAGTTCATCCTTGATGTACTTTCTCATTATGTGTAAAGAAGGACATGGAGAGGTCTAAGTTCTGGAAACTCTGCCTGGTCAGAGGTGTTTTCTCAACTCAGTCCTCATGGCTATAGCACAGAAGTGCAAAGGATAGAAACGGTTTCTTCTAAAACTATCACTGGAATATAAAAATTAGCAATTTCTTTTGTTAAGGATCAACTTTCTTTGGGGCATTGACAGTTCCCTTTTGGGCATACAGTAATATCTCAATTATCTCCAATAGACAAGGGAAATAATAGTGTGAATATGCAAATAACTCATGTCTCATAGTATGTGTTTGCGTGTATGTGGGCATCTCATTTTATAGATTTTCCTTTAAAATACCATTCTTCTTATACTACATAAAAAAATTAATTTGTTATTCCCGAACAAAAGATGACGAAAAAGTTCCAAATCATGTGGAGGCCAAGGTCAAGCTGCGAAAAATAAATCTGCTACAGTATGCAAAGCTCAAAAAGATGGTGACAGCTTGTTTACATCTGTAATGTGAAATGTATTCCAAATAAAAGTGCTATGCACTTCTGTTCCCATATACTTGCTCTATCTTTGTCCTAAGTTTACAGAATAGATACATTAAAAAGAGCTTTACGACATTTCTCACCAAGGAAAAAACTTTAGGCAGTTGAAGAACAATACAGAAAGCCACTGATGACAAGAACCAACTGCTTGCCATGTGAGTGTTACCTAAATCAGAAAAGGCGTGAAGTTCTTTTTGTGTTGTTTCTCCCTTTCATCTTTCAAGCCAATCAGATTCTATGGACAAGAAATAAAATGGGAGGAAGTATTACTCTGTCTTGCCTGAGTCATTGAGTTCATCATAAAATAAAGATAATATGGCAGTTCAGCAACAAAAGAGGCAAACAAGTATGAATTGAAATAACAAAACTCATTTGGTAATATTGAGACTTCGGGACCCAGGGAAGTAGAATGATCAATGAAGTGAGTGGAGCGATGGCAAGGGAGTCCCACCAGCTCAGGACCAAGCCTGAGTCAGCCTCTTCCAAACTTCTGCCAAGTAATTTAATTGCTCTAGATCACGTTTCTTTCCTTTCCTTTTCTTTTCATTTTTTCTTTTAGAGATAGGGTCATACTCTGCCACCCCAGGATGTAGTGCAGTGACTCAATCATAGCTCACTGCAGCCTCAAACTCCTGGGCTCAAATGATCCTCCCACTTCAACCTCCAAGCCGCTGAGACTACAGGCATGACCATCACACAGGCTAATTTTTTTTTTTTTTTTTTTTTTTTTTTGTAGTGATGAGTTCTCACTATATTTCCCAGGCTGGGCTTGAATTCTTGGCCTCAAGCAATGTTCCCATCTTAGCCTTCCAAGCCAAGCACTGGGATTTCAGTAGGTCATGTTTTTTTTCTTTTTCTTTGTTTTTTAGAAAGAAAGGAAGAAAAAGAAAGAAAAGAAGAAAAAGAGAGAGAAAGAAAGAAAAAAGAATAAAAGAGAGAAAGAAAGAGGAAGAGAAAGAGGTAGAGAGAATGGAAATCTTGCTCTATTGCCCAGGCTAGAATGCAGTCTTAAAAATGGGTATTAAACACCTCTTTTATGCCAATAAATGTGCTTAGCCATGAAGACAGGAAGGAATAAGGGAGGAAAATAACAAACAAGCAGCCAACCAATATTTCGTTTAAACCTGTGAAATGCTATACAATTGCTGAGGAGTGATTTACTTCCAATTTTGTGGTCACTTTTAGAATAGGTGTGATGTGATACTGAGAAAAATGTATGTTTTGTGGATTTGGGGTGGAGAGTTCTGTAAATGTTTATTAAGTTTACTTATTTCAGGTCTGAGTTCAAGTCCTGTATATCTTAGTTAATTTTCTGTCTTGTTGATCTGTCTAATATTGACAATGTAGTGTTAAAGTCTCCCACTATTATTATGTGGGACTCTAAGTCTCTTTGTAAGTCATTAAGAACTTGCCTTATGTATCTGGGTGCTCCTGTATTGGTACGTTTATATTTAGGATCGTTAGCTCTTCTTGTTGCATTGATCCTTTTACCATTATGTAATGTGTTTCTTTGTCTCTTTTGGTCTTTGTTGCTTTAAAGTCTATTTTATCAGAGACGAGAATTTCAACTCCTGCTTTTTTTTTTTTTTTTTTTGCTCTACATTTGGTTGGTAAATCTTCCTCCATCCCTTTGTTTTGAGTCTTTGTGTATCCTTGCATGTGAGATGGGTCTAGATGCAGCATACCAAAGGGTTTTGGCTTTTTATCCAATTTGCCTGTCTGTGTCTTTTGATTGGGGCATATAGTCCATTTAAATTTGGGATTGAGGTCATGTTTCTTAATCTGTGAAACGGGCATAGTAACAATACCTACTTCAAAGTGTTATGGTGAGAAATAAATCATCAGCTTGAAAGCGCCTATCACAGTGCCTGGCACATGGCCAGCAATCTATACAGGCCAGCTGCTAATCTTATTAACGTAGGAGTAAAATCATCCAACTAAGGGGCAATATTTCCATAGCACGTCCTGACCTGAGAATGTCTCTTATTTCACATGTTAACAAAATGTATTCAAGTTCTTCCTTTCATAAATTGTCCTCTGAAAGTTTAATTCCAAAAGTAGTATACATATTCAGCCAGGAGCAGTGGTGGCTCGTACCTATAATCCTGGAACTCTGGGAGGTTGAGGTGGACAGGAAAGAGGAAAACTGAGAAATGTAAATAAAACAAGATTGGCCATAAGTTGATAATTAAGCTGGCTCATGAATACGTAGGAATTAAAGTATTCTCTTCTTTGCACTTTTGAATATTTTTGGAACTTTCCATAGCAAAAAAAAAAAAAAATTAACATTTTCTCTCCTTAAAATTGATCTACTAAATGCCAAATAGCTACATATTTAAATCACAGCAGTTAATTCCTCCTGACTGGGTAGATAATAATTTAATCAACAAGACTAAGCATTTCTAACACGTATCCCCTAAGCAGCACAAACCAAAAGCAACTTAGCTTTCTTACAGTTTGAATGATGCCATAAAAATTCAAATACAATAACAAAATCATAGAAGCTGGTTACTGTATTTCACTAATGTTAAAGGAGCGATTTACTTGCCAACAAGTGCAAATTATAAACTATTACAATTACTGTTTCTTAGACTTCATGAAGTATTTTCCTTTTTCTCTTATATTGGAATTATTGCAGCTAGATGAATAATCAAAAACAGTTGCTTAGTCTAGGTAGAGTCAATAAATCAAAAAGATCACGTAGAGTGTTCTGTTCACCCAGATAGGAGAACAAATACAATCCGGAGTGTGCTCACCAAAATTTTGATATGCTGAAGGCAAGAGAAGTTCTTTGTTATGCCACTTGGAACAGAATAATTTTTTTGAGTTTCGCGTTTTACTCCATACATACCTCAACACTTCCAGGAAGGTGGTCAGGCCCTTAGTATCTCTTATCTCAGGGGCAGGAGAGGAGGTTTATAGGACATAGAGAGGAAACTGCCTGCACACTACAGTTTTTATTGGCTTTTGTAAAAGTTTACACACACTGAAGAGGTATGTCCCTGAAGCCCAGAGGCAGACAGGAGAGACAATACTTTCTAGAACAGCATAAGGAAAGAATACATTTTTTTCAATATTGGGAAGAGGTCAGAGTTCAGAAGGTCCAGTGAGACACAGAATCATACAAGGCAAAGAGTATCTGTATGGTGCATCCAGAGATGTTGGATGCTAGGAATCCAGTCCTTTCAAAGATCTCTGACACCAAATGTGGACTGGAAGCAAGGAAGAAGCAGAATCTAAAAAGATCAAGATGAATGGAAAATGGGTATCTCTCTTCATTATCAGTGAGATCTAATGATCAATGACATGGGGATCTTCACCTATGGTATGGCATCATTTAATATTCTGAACCCTTGCACTATGCTTGGTGCAAGAAATTACTAATAAATATTTAAATTTAATTTCTGCCAGCCCGTAAGTATAATGAGATGTTAGATTTAAGTTTAAGTGGATTTAAAGAAAATAAAAATGTGCAATAGTACAGGTCTTGGTTTGTGGTAGTTAATTCCTACAGGCTACTCTGTTAAAAATCCACCATGCCAATAAAAGAAACTATAAAAGAAACCTGCCTCCATTCTCTAATAACCATCCTTGACATCTGCACACCTTTGTATTGGTAAGGTGTTTTCACATACCTTGTTTCATCTGATCCTCACAGAGTTTAGAGTGTTCAGTGGCTCTTGGGCTGTTGAGAGTAGATGGGCAGGAGTGAAATGGCTCAATGGAAGAGAGGACTTTCTCAAGTGGTCACTAGACATTTATTTTGCTCGCTCACTCTCTCGTTCTGATTCTTGCTAGAAACAAGAGAAACCGTTTATTCAACACCGCATTTAAAAACATTTGTGCAGGTCGGGTGCAGTGGCTCACGCCTGTAATCCCAGCACTCTGGGAGGCCAAGGGGGGTGAATCATGAGGTCAAGACATCAATACCATTCTCGTCAACATGGTGAAACCGCATCTCCACTAAAAATACAAAAATTATCTGAGCGTGGTGGCATGTGCTTGCAGTCCCAACTATTTGGGAGACTGAGGTAGGAGAATCGCTTGAACCCAGGAGGCAGAGGTTGCAGTGAACCAAGATCGTGCCACTGTACCCTAGCCTGGCGACAGAGTGAGAGAGACTCCATTTAAAAAAAAAAACTGTGCAAAATTGTCACTTGTAAGATGGGTTTCATGGAACCTAATGTCAAGGATTAATTCACTTCCTGAGGTGTCACAATTTAGGCTGCCACCCAATGGTGGTAGTTAAGTCATGGCCAAATGCTACTCACAGAAAAATAATAAAACAAAACAAATGTTTGTAGGTATATTTAAGAAGAAAAATAAATTACAGCACTTTGCAATGCCTTCTTACCATAAGAAGCAGATACCCTTCTTAAAACAATTCAACAGAAGAAAAAAGTTGATTTAAAGAACATTATTTTATTGCAAACTTTTGAAGCCAGAAGATTTAATGGAAATTGCCATTAAGGAATGGGAGTTGGGGAAATAAAGTAGGCGAGACTTTAATTTTTCTAATTTGTACATTTCTATTTTTATGTGTTATCGTTTGGAAAATCATTTTTTAATCAAATGAATCTAATATCTAATTGGATTATTTTCCTCTTTATCATACATCATTGCTAACAAAATATCTACAAACATAACTGTTCTTTAATAACTTACAGGGCCTTAAAAAGAGAACGTTGATTCCTAACTGCTCACTTTTGTCACTAAAACCCCTGCCCTGGTTTGTCCATGCTCTTTAGGCCAGGGATTCCAACTATGGTAAGAATACCCATGGGATAAAGGAGTCCTCAAAATCAGCATCAGGATTAAGAATTCACTTTCCATCAATCTACACCATCTGGTGAGTATGCAAGGTTTAACGCATCTGCCCTTGATTTTTCAGGCATATTCTCAGCATACGAGAAGTCATCTAGGAGAGTAGCTTTTGTTTCTATTTTAAACTTGTAACAGGAAGAAAATTCCCTGAAAGACAAACTCCATTTGTATGTCTGCAAACTTACTACAGGTTTTTATGGCTAGAAATCCTAGAAACAGATTCAAATTCAAGTCTTTCTGTGTCTAAAGATTGTGTTCGTTCCACTCCACTGTGCAACTTCCCCTAGAGATCATTTTCATAAATTTAGTTTTAAAACAGCAAATAGGATTTGCAGTTTCTTTCAGCCACTGCTGCTGTGTGAAACAGAGACGATGTCTCACTGTTTCGGTCAGCAGTGCCTGGGTGCCACCGGAAATGTGTCGGGATGATTTGTGTCCAGGTACATTTGATGGCATCCTTCTCCAAAAGCTGTGAACACCTGCGTAGCTTGATTTCAGCTTAGATGGAACTTTACAGTAGCCAGAGAAGAAACAAGCCTTCCCAGCACAACTAATAAAAGAATGAACTTTTAAAAACCTTACTACAAATAATAAATAACGAAGTTAAAAATATTTAACTGTCCTGATAAGAAAAATATTGGCTTTTTGTTTTTTAATGGTGGGAGGCATATTCTTAGAGTATCAGAGGGTATAGAAATGTGAGAGCCACTGTCCCAGCAGCCTTCTTTTCAGCTGGCATTGGCTTCTATAACCTGGTCTCTCCTTTTCTAGAAGTAAGGATCTGTTGTAGGTAGAGAGAAGACGGTTTGATCTCTTCAGTCCTCTGATTTAAGACCTTTGTCATGTTCCTTCTCATTAGTAAACACACCAATTACCCCTTTCTTTGGTAAAGTAACAACCCCATGTTGAACTGTGGCCAGATTTCCAGTTATAACAAGTTCCCCTAACACTTCACTTCCACATTCTTCCTCTGAAACCTCCTCCCTCCATCCCTCCCAAATGTCTTCGAGGTTTAGACCTTGTGGCTTCATTTGCATGAACTGATTATATTTTTTAAATTTTTTCTCTTCATAATCCCCATAGCAACTGGCTTCTTTAGAAATTTTCTCACAGTCCAAAGATATCATATCTCTTTTAACCGAAAAGAATATACTAGTACAGGAAAATAAGCTGTATCATAACTTTGTCCTTGGCTTCTCATTTATTTAATTTTCTTTTGTAAAGTTAAAAAAAAAATTTTAAACTGTGAACTTAGCTGGATGGAATTTGTTGAGTATTATGCGGCTTAGAAGTTTTTAAAGGATGTGCATAATTTTTTAAATGCTGTCTCACCCATGTTACAGAACAGGCAGTTTTTCACTTATTCAATAAGTGGTTTTTTTAGTATCTTAAGAACTGTGTTTAAAGCTGTGAAACATTTAAGGTAAGTATGAAACACAGAATTGTCCTCCTGCACCTGAAATCATTTTAGGTAACAATAAAACATAGTGTGTAATTAAACACTGAAACTATAAAGCAGCCCTATCATTTTCAGTTGATGCAAGTAGAAGGTGAAATTTGAATTGGGCCCCAAGGAGTATGATTTGAAAAGCTGAAGGAACCAAAAACATTATTATAGGCATCATTCCAGAAAAGAAGGCAGTGTGAGTATTTATGTGGAGGATAAATATGGAATGTTTGGAGAACGATGAGTAGATCAACTTGGCTAGAGGAGAGCACATGGAGACACGTATGGCAGGGATAAAAAGCTAGAAAATAAGGCTAGAAGACAGGTGTAGAAGGTCTTACCCATCAAGTCTCGACCTGGGTTTGGATTTCATCTCATAGGTGATAGGATTAACTAGTTAAAATGGAAAATTAATCTACAGGAAATGAGGAAGTGTCATCTAAACGAATCTTGAAAATGGCTTGAGGGTCAGGCTTTCTCCCTGTCTTCAGTTTTGTTTTTCCTTCCTCCATTTTGCTACTCTACTTTCAGCCAGTGATCTTAGGAATCACACAAGTCTATTTTGCAATTTTTAAATGGTGTTGTTCTCCTGCTTAAAAGAGTTCAACAGCCTTGCAGAGACTTTCAGATAAAATCCTCCCAATTTCACACATGGCCTTTCGGATGTGGCCCTAACTTGCCTCTCCATACGTGTTACTATACAATAGGCATCACGTTAACCCTTTTCCATTGGACTGAAACGTCCTTCACCTTTCCATGCCCATTCCCATTTATTTTTTTTTTTTGTCTGACAAACGTGTAACTCATCTTGAGATTTCAACTTAGATGTTACTTCCCCAAGGAAGGCTCTTAGAGGGCCTCAAATCCAGATTATGCTGCCTGCCACAGCTCCCATTTCTATGATAGTACTTAGAATCCATTTTGTTGTCTTGGGCATACCCATATGGGGTCGGTTAGTTTCCCCAGTACCTAAAAAAGCACCAGAAACCTAAGAGATGCTTTAAAAATTTTGGTAAACAAAAGAATTAAAAAGGAAGAAGCCAGAAAACTAGGAGTCTATGGCAATCAGACGGTCATAAAATAGTAAGATTTAGGCATAAATACCAGGATGGGCTTGCAGCAATGGAAAAGAAGAGATGGACGGAGGCAAAGGTAAAAAAAACCTAGGTGGAATGCTAACAAATCTCTGTTTTGACTGAGCTGACATAATGTGGTATACATAGTTAAAAGGTCCATCTAACTCTATAGTTTCCAAATTCTGGCTGATCATTCAGAATCATCCAGAGAATCAGAAATCTTTTTTGGTTTTGATGTGTTTTAATTCTTCATGATCATTCTCATAATGACTTAACTGATGTTTAGGAATTACCTAGATGTCATATAAGGCCATTTTCTGCACTAATGTTCTGATTTAACCAAGACACCCATGAAAATAAGTAATTGAATGTAAGAGCAGAAGGAATGCCTTACACTACTACCTTTTTAGACTGGTTGACCTGTAGTCACAATTTGCATGTAACAGGCAGCCAAAAAAAAATACTTGATGAATAAATCAGGGAAGCAGAAAGAGGGAGCATATTTTGTGAAATGGACTTGATGTTGGATACGAGTTTCTCACCTGACACTCAACCATTTGTGTGTTCTTCCAGCTGTCTCAACAGAACTCTCACCCTGCTTTAAGTGGATATGTCCTTGGCATTGTTTTGGCTAGTACAGGACTATCTCTGAGGAACAGCACCCAATTTCTCTTTAAAGAATTACCCTTCCCCATTGTGTATAGTCTTGTTGGAATTGTAAATCAAGTCCTGCCCTCCTTAGCTGAGTTATAACAAAACTCTCTCCTTGATTTTGAAAACCTGAGTAGAGTGTCCAAAGAGCAGAGAAATCAATGGGTGTTCATCATTCTCGCTGCGTCATTAAGCTCCCTCAAATGCCCTGCTTTCTGTTCTTTTAACTTAGCCTCGTTATCAAGCCTTCTCATCATCTATGAACTACTCAGTATCCTTCTGTACCACCATTTTACTTAATAAGTCATTACAATATCTGGTACCTACAAACAAACAAATGAACAAAAACTAATACTTAACATACCATCTTCATTGTCTCATTGCATAAAAGAGTTCCTTCCCACATTCACCCCAGACACTTCTCTAATTTCTGCACTGGGAAGGTATGCACAGTCATTGTAGTATTTAAAAAAAAGAAAAGAAAAAAAATGCAAGCCACACATGTAATGTTGGATATTCTAGCAGCCATATTTTAAAAAGTAAGCAGAAACAGATGGAATTAGTTTTCGGCTATTTTTTATTTAAACAAATATCTCTTAATTATTAACACACAATATGAAAAAATTGAGTTTTTTTTTTTAGTGTCTTTTGAAGTGTGGTATGTATTTTACACTTACAGCACATCTCAATTCAGATGCTAAATTCTGAAAGGTTAAAGTGATATATGTTCCTTTCAAACAATAAAGCCGCATATACAGAAAAATAACTCACACTGTTACTCTTAAAATTTAAATTGCTGGGCATGGTGGCTACGCCTGTAATCCCAGCACTTTGGGAGGCTGAGGTGGCAGACTGCTTGAAGCCACAAGTTCTACAGCAGCCTTGCCAACATGGCAAAACCCCGTCTCTACTAAAAATTCAAATATTAGCTGACTGTGGTGGTGGGTGCCTATAATCCCAACTAATCAGGAGGCTGAGTCATGAGAATTGCTTGAATCTGGGAAGCAGAGGTTGCAGTGAGCCAAGATCATGCCACTGCACTCCAGCCTGAGAATAGAGCAAGACTCTGTCTCAAAAAAATTAAAAATTTAAATAAATATTGTTAATAATTTTTCTCAGTTGCACTAGCCATATTTCAAGTGCTCAGTAGCCAAATACGACAAGCATCTATGTACTAGGCACCATGGCCTTAGCTCTGCTACAGGAGCTAAGAGACATAGGGAACCTTTTCTTGATGGATCCAGTAGTTGGCAAGAACTGGAGGCTTTCACACCTCCAACAAATTCCATTATGACAGGACTCAAAACTGTGTGGAGACCACTTGAAATATTTCTACCCCCAAAATGATGTTTCTTTGGCTGGGTAACTACAACAGGTTAACACATTGATTCTGAGATCTATCCTCTGTGCTCTGCAATTCAGGTGCATGGAAAGATCAAGGAATTATCTTCTCAGGTAGTTTTCAAAGTTAAAATTACACTATTACTCTTAAATCACTTCTCATTTATAACATGTTGAGGGGTGGGAAGAGACTTGGGGGATTCTTTTTAATTATAAGGATTTCCACCACCAAATAGAAAAATGGAATTTGGAGTGGCAGGTTGAGGAAGTTGACCTTTATCTCTCAGATAATAATGGATATTTTAAATTTTAGAGTGAAAGAATAACATAATAATGTCAATGTTTCAGGAAAACAAATCAGAATCCAGACTGGTATAATAGGGGTCCATAGAGAAGGTGTGGTGTTTCTAGCATCCTTAGATGACAGATATATGCTCTTAGGTCTGCTGAGAATGCTGTCTTCCTCTTCTGAAGCTGAGAAGACATGTGCTCATCCAGTCCAGTCACCTCTCAGTTTCCCAAGTACGGATGGCAGACCGAGTCCCTTTCCCTTTCACCCCTCTCTCAGAGCACCTCTTTGAAAATCCTGCACAAAAGTCAAACTTGTAGAGACAGACAGCAGTCCTGAGGGGCTGAGGAATTATTGTTTAACAGGAACTTGCAAGTTGGGTCCTATGGATGGATGCTGGTGAAAGTAGCACAACAATGTGAAGGATTGGTGGGCCTTTCCCCTGATTAACTCCTCTCCACATTTAGGAGAGTCCTTTTTCCAGGCCAGAATGGTTTAGGTACCCTTGCTGTACCCTTTCATGATCCTCATGCTTTCTTTACCAGCCTCTCATCAAAACTGTCATCTACAACTAATTATATGGTACATTAGTTTGCTAGGGTTACCGTTAGAAAACACTACAGACTGGGTGCCTTATACAAACTGGGTGTGATTTCCTCACAGTGCTGGAGGCTAGAAGTCTAAGATCAAGGTGTTGGTAGGTTTGGTTTCTCCAGAGGCTTTTTTTTTTTTTTTGGCTTTCAGATAGCCTTTCTTTTATGCAAACACAACCTGGGTGTTTGTGTCCAATTTCCTCTTCTTTTATTGGTTTTTTTGTTTGTTTGTTTGTTTTGAGATGGAGTCTTGCTCTGTTGCCCATACTGGAGTGCAGCTGCAGGATCTCGACTCACTGCAGCCTCGCCTCCTGGGTTCCCGTGATTCTCCTAAGTCTCCCTAGTAGCTGGGATTACAGGTGCACGCCACCACGCCTGGCTAATTTTTTTGTATTTTTAGTAGACAGGGTTTCACCATGTTGGCCAGGGTGGTCTGGAACTCCTGACCAGCCTGGTGATCCGCCCACCTCGGCCTCCCAAAGTGCTGGGATCACAGGTGTAAGCAACTACACCCAGCCCCAAATTTCCTCTTCTTATGAGGACGTCAGTCAGACCGGATTAGGGCTCACCCTAAGAGTCGAGTTTTAACTTAATCACATCTTTAAAGGCCCTATCTCCAAATACACTCACATTCCGAGGTACTAGAAGTTGGGACTCCAACGTATGAATTTTAGGGGATGCAATGTGGCTTATGATTAATTTCACTGTTTGCACTGTTAAACCTTATAACAGGGACTTTGTTTTGTTCATATTTCGGGAACTTAACAGTTGCTGCTCCGTCTCCTGAGCACGCTCTACCTCCAACTCTTCATACAACAGGTTTTTCTCAACTTTCAAGCCTTAGCACCATCATCTGACAAGGGCCGTTCCGGGCCACCTTGTCTAGAGTAGCCCTAAACTTTACTCTATCATGTCACTGTTCTTTTTCACAGCATTCATCACTTATTTATGTCCAGAATGCCAGCTTCCGGAAAAGTGGGGATACGCTTTTACACGGTATTATGTCCCAGTATCTCACACACAGTCACAAGTGAATGAGATTCTATAGCTACTTAGCACATTAACATTTTATTTATTCCTGGGAAAACCTGAAGGGCTTTTAACATCCCAATCGGTTTCTGAATTTCATCTCTGATATGGAGTAACTGTGTGAATTCCAGCAAGTCCCTCACCCGCGGTCTCGAATCCCTAACAACACGATGACGATACCTTCTTCCCGCTCTTATGAAGATTAAGTGAACTAATTACTCTTAAGTGCCCAGCTCAAGAATCTGACATAGAGCCCATGCTTGTCAGCTGAGATGCTACTAGCTTTCGGATGTTCCACAGCATCGACCTGGGAATGGCTTTCGAAAATGTCTTTAGGTGGTACCCAGAGCATTAAACAACGGGGTATGAACGCTACCCTATTTTCAGTGTTTAATTCTTTTTTGCTCTGTTGTTTTGTTTTTGAGACAGGATGTCGCTCTGTAGCCCACACTGGAGTCCAGTGGCGGGATTTCAGCTCACTGCAGCCTCGACCTCCCGAGTTCCGGCAATTCTCCAGCCTCAGCCTCCCAAGTAGCGGGGACCACAGGTCCAAGCCACCACACCCAGTTATTTGTTTATTTATGGTTGGGTGGGATGGGGTCTCCCTGTGTTGCCCAGGCTGGTCTTTTCAATTCTTTACATCAAAACCAGGCCTTCCTCTCATGCGCGTGTGTTTGGCACCCATCCCTGCCTCCATCTCTTGCTGCTTCTTGCAATTCTTCTGTTTAGCGGAGATCCCTCAGCCAGAGTCGCACCCGCAGGGGCCGGCGGGTGGAAGGTGGCGCTGCGCGGGGACCGGAAGCCAGACTGCCTGGGGCGGCCCCGGCCGCGTTCCCCCGGGACTCCGGGCGGCTGTGAGGACGGGAGCAACTCGTGGGGTCCTACTGAAAACGACGTGGCCCCTCCCGCCACTCACGTTATGAAGACAAACACGTAGTTAACCCTGCCCGGGCGGGTGGCAGGCATCGCGGGAACCTATGGTGCCGGCGAGGACTACTGAGTCTGGAGGGGGTGCCTGAGGAAGGGGGTCCCCGAGGGAGGATAGGCCTTCGAGGTGGCCAGGCCCACGTCCCGGGAGGGCGGCCCACAGCTCGGGGCAGCAAGGCTCTGGGGGTCCTCCTCTGACTTGGGCCTGTTTAGTATCTGCCGCGCTCATCCCCGCGCGACTGCCCCGCGCGCTTACCCGAGCCTTTCAGTCGGCAGAACGCCCACAGAGGGGCCGCACCCGCGCGCGAGACACCGGGCGGGGCGGCAGGGCGGGGTGGGGAGGAGCGTCGCACGTTACACACGCGACGCAGCTACGCACGCGGCTCCGCGCATGTGCGGTGAGGCTCGCGGCCGAGTGCGGCGCTGGGCGGGAGCCACCATGGCGGCCGAGCGCAAGTCAAAGTTGTCCAAGAATCTGCTACGCATGAAGGTGCGGGGACGCTGAGCCAAGCCGGGCGGTAGGGGCACCCGGTCCTTCCGACTTGACCTGGGCCGAGGCGGCGGGCGGACGGGGGACACCAGAGAGGCCCCAAAGGCTTCCAGCTCTTGTGCTCATTCATTCACTTAGCGCCTGCTCTGCACTGTTTACTGGGAACCAGGTTGTGAATTAGGCTGACTCTCTTGGGAGGCCCGCGGGCGGATCGGAGCTTATATACACATAAGCAGCCGTCAGGGTACAGTTTACCAAGTTCAGTGAGGGTAGAAGCGCCGGGGACCCTGGGAACTCACTGAACTCGCGGAGTCGTGGTCCCTTTAGGTTACTGGGAGGGTGGGAGGCACAGCGTCCTAAAGTACGAGAAACTGAGTTCAGAAGTCCCAGAGGCAAGAAGGAAAAAGAAAAGCATGGAGATTTCCAGGAACTAGAGATAATTCAGTATGTTTGGAAGGCAAATACTAAGAAATGAGGTTGCAGAGTAGGCCATGGTCACAACGTGCAGGGAATTTTAGGCCTGATTAAGGATATTTTCCTTTATTTTGTGAGCAATGGAAAGCTCAAAAATAGCAAATATTTACATTTTTGGGGTACTCTATAATGTTTTAAGTGTTTTGCATATATTAACCTATGCAGTTCACAAAATGACACTTTGAGGTGACTACAAGCAGTAACTCTATTTTTGCAACTAAGGCAACTGAAACGGAAGTAAGTAATTTACCCAAAGTTACACAGCTAATAAGTAGTGCAGACGGGTTGGAACTCAGTCTAGCTCCAGAACCCTGGCTCTTTATTACTACTCTGTAATGCCTCTCACTGAGCACTACTAATAGAGAGTAGCAAACTTATATGTCATGTTTAAAGAGGTGGAATTTCCAAAAAAAAAGGGAAGCTATTCATAGTGTTTTGAAAGATTGGAGAGAGAGTCCATTCGCAGTGATTCATGTCTGTAATACCAGCACTTTGGGAGGCTGAGGTAGGCAAATCGCTTAAGCCCAGGAGTTTGATACCAGCCTGGGTAACGTGGTGAAACCCCATCTCTACAAAAAATACAAAATATTAACCAGGCGTGGTGGCATGCACCTGTAGTCCCAGCTACTTGGGAGGCTGAGGTAGGAGGATTGCTTGAGCCTGGGAGATCGAGGCTACAGTGAGCTGAGATGGTGCCACTGCACTCCAGCCTGGGTCACAGAGGGAGACCCTGTCTCAAAACGAGAAAGATTAGAGAGTAAACAATGAATGGGTGAATGAGGATAAATTGTAGCATAACTTATAGTTTGTCAAGCACTTTCATGGATAATAGCAAAATTTGAATCTTTACTGAACAGAGTTTGCTTTTGATTTTAGGATTTGTAATAACATTAATTTCAGAGAAGTGGAGTGAATTGGCCAAGCAGATACTGAAAAGATTAGCAATTGTTTTAGCTCTTGGAATAAGCCAGATGATGTACTATGTGACTCAGGCTCAAACTAAAGATCTGAGTTGCAACTAAAAAGGAGGACATTAACTTAAAACAAGTGTCCACCCCCACCAAGTGGGGAGACCCAACTGAACATTGGAAGCAAAGGAGAGAGAAGAAGATCACCCAAGTTCTCTATTTGGTTTAGAAGCTTTTGGTCATCGATAAGAAAGAACTTACTGGCAAGATAGCAGGAGACACTACCTGTACTAACTGAACAGAGTATACTGTGAAAAGGCATGGAGCAGCTGCACTTGAGTGCCATAGCCAGAGCTAAGTCCTATATAGCATGAGTCTCCAACCTCTGGGCCATGGACCAGTACCAGTCCAGGCCTGTTAGGACTGAGCCACACAGCAGGAGGTGAGTGGCGGGCAGCCAAGCAAGTGAGGGAAGCTTCATCTGCATTTACAGTTGCTCTCCACAGCTTGCATTACCACCTGAGCTCTGCCTCCTGTCAGATCAGTGGCAGCATTAGATTCTCCTAGGAACACAAACCCTACTGTGAACTGCACATACGAGCCACCTACCTTGCACGCTACTTAGGAGAACCTAATGCCTGATGGTCTATCACTGTCTCCCATCACCCCCAGATGGGACTGTCCTAGTTGAAGGAAAACCAGCTCAGGGCTTCTACTGATTCTACATTATGGTGAGTTGTATAATTATTTCGTTACATATTACAATATTAGAAACAAAGTGCACAATAAATGTAATGCACTTGAATCATCCCTAAACCATTTGTCGTCCCCCCCCCACCCCACCCATGGAAAAATTGTCTTCCAGGAAACCAATCCCTGGTGCCAAAAAGGTTGGGAACCACTTTTTATGGCAAGTATGAGGGTTGAGGATTTAATCCTGACTCACTTGAATGCTTCTGACTTGGTAAGCCATTGAGGGGTGATCCTGATGGGAAGCAGAAAAAGGAGGATGTGGATAGAAGGTCTGTCAGTATGGAATGGTTGTAGAGAGGGTGCTTATTTGTGATTTTAGCACTATTAGACTCTTAGAACAGGGCTTGGCAAACTTTCTGCAAAGGACCATATAATAAATATTTTGGGCTTATGAGCCAGGCAATCTCTGTTACAACTACTCAGCTCTGCCATTGTTGTTCAGACCAAATGACCATGGCTGTGTACCAGTAAAACTTTATCGACAACGACAGACATCCAGCCTGAGGACTGTATTGTGCTGATGTCTGCTCTGAGTCCTCACTAGTTTTAGAATGTGTTCTGAAATGCTCTAGAGTAAGAGAATTGAACTTCTACGTAAGTCTGGAGGTGCTTGATTTATATTCACAGTGAGTTCTATCCTTTCCCTATGTACAGAACATAAGTTTATGGCTCTTTTGTATACCCAAAGAATAGGTACCTGACTAAATGGGAGAAAAAAGGGCAGTTGGGCAATACTGATGAGTTTTACCATGAGGAATATTAATGATTAAATGAGGCATCTGCGTTTCAAGAAAACCATCCCAGAAAGAGAGTCTGGAAAAGTAAGACAAGTCTAGGTTCATTTACATTCAGAGAACCTTGACTGGGTGAGCTCTTTTGTGTCCCAGGGGTGCAGCCTAAGTACCAATGGTACAAGATGAACGAGAGTCATGGTCTATTCAGAACCGTAGTCTTGGGAGACACCAAAGCAGCACAATGCTGGATAATAATCCAGTGTTGATAAGGCTGTCTTGGAAAGGTGCTCCTTTATAGGAGCAGGCCTAGGAAGAGCCAATCGGGGAGGTCTTACTAGAGGACACATGCTGTGGGCCTACAAGAGTAAATATTGTGTGAGGCAAAAAATGGAAACATGTTGTTAAGTAGCAAAGGCAAAAGGACGTGGTAGTATAATGTGTACATTCCAGAAACTGCAGTTCTTTCCTAGAATGAGGATATAGACACAGGTGAAATGGGTGAGGACTACAAGACAGTAGTCTACAAACTTGTTTTCTTTTCTTATTTAAAATAGTAATGTATTCACAGGGAGTTGCAAAAAGTGTTCAGGGGTATCTTGGGCATCCTTCATGCCACCTCCCCCAGCAACAACATTTTATATCACTAGAGGACAATAAAGAGCCAGGACATTGACAGTGAGCTTACTCAGATTTCACCATTTTGCATGCACTCACTTTGTGCAGACAGTTGCTGGGTCATATGGCTAAGTGTATGTTTAGTTTGCTAAGAAACTGCCAAGGTGTTTTCCATAGTGGCTGTACCATTGACTTTTCCAGCAGCCATGTATGAGTGATCAGTTTCTTCACATTCTCATCAGCACTTGATGTTATCACAGGCATGTGTTACTTGACAGGGATACATTCTGTAAAATGCAGTGTTAGGGGATTTCGTCATTGTGAGAGCATCATAGAGTTGATGTACACAAACCTGGATGGGATAGCCTGCCACATACCTAGGCTGTATGGCACAGCCTGTTGTTCGTGGGCAACAAACCTGTACAGCATGCTGCTATACTGAATACTGTAGGCTGTTGTAACACGGTGGTAAGTATTTGTATATCTAAACATATCTAGACATAGAAAAGGTACAGTAAAAATGCAGTATTACAATATTAGGGGACCACCATCATATATGGGTTTCATCGTTGACCAAACATCATTTTGCAGCACATGACTGTGTTTTATTCATGAACGTTCTTAAGGTTTTTTCCATTTAACTTAGTAGTCATTGTTAAAGCCTTTATGCCTAAAAAGACTTGTGTTTCTTTTTGGAAGAACTGGAATAGAAAGAGAAGAAATATGGGGCCTGAATAAGGGAAATAAATGGGGGCACATAGAAACCAGTGGAAGCTGAAACCTAACTGCTAGGAGGCTCCTGGGTGTTTTCTGATTTTATTTTCTCCAGTGTTGGTATTTTATCATTTTGTTCTGGTTTGCCTCTTAAGTTTGTTCACTTGTTCCCAGAAGAAAAGTAGATATTCCTGCTGGCGAGAGACTAGCAGCAGGACTGTTATTTACTGCCGTATTTTGAGTCAGGTTTCTGCAGATTTGATAATAAGAGCAGCTGAAGAGTTTAGCAGCATTTCAGAAGACAAATAAAAAAGAGCAGACTTACAGATGCACCTTTGCTTCTGTCTACATTTATCGGGCGCTTACTGTGCTTCAGTCACCTTTCTGGGACAGATGAAGGAGATGACTCAGACACAGTCCCGGTCCTAAAGGTCTCCAGAAAAGATAGACACTCAAAAAGTTAAGATGTGGTGAGTCTGTTGGAGAGAGACGTGAAAGCATTTAGGACAGAGATACTGATTTTACTGGCACCTGCCAGGGATGGCATTACAGAAGTGGCGTAAGTTTACATATGTCAGACAGGTGAGGATTTGGCCAGGTGGAAGAGGATAGGAAGAGCATTTCAACCCAAGATCAGCAGGTGCAAAAGCCAGTGGGCTCTGTGGGTGAGAAGACCCTTGAATGTGGTGTCTTAGCCCTTAAGTTTTCCAAAGGAAGCATACATTGTGCATTTTCACATGCCCCGACACAGTCCCTCATCATCTAGTGTAAAGGTGGAAGGGGACAGCTAAACCGTTTGATCATTTGCCCCAACTCTCAATCTCCAGGTAGGCTCCATAGATAACTGAGGGATAGCAAGTAGAAGGAAATTATTTGAGGTTTCCTCAGCTCTAAAATGGAAAAAGTTTCTGACATTGATTTTTTTTTTTCCCCCCACAGTTTATGCAAAGGGGACTGGACTCAGAAACCAAGAAACAACTGGAAGAGGAAGAAAAGAAAATCATTAGTGAAGAGCACTGGTACTTGGATTTGCCAGAGCTTAAAGAGAAAGAGTAGGTTTATTACAATTTCTGTTAATGATGCTTGGGCCATTCAGAAGGAAACTCCTGGTAAATTTAACTCATGATTCCAGCAACATAAAGCCCATGAAATAGTTTCTTTTCAGTTTGTTGAGTTAGGGGCACAAGTAAAAAATATTAAACCTATAAAAGTTACACATGGATTTATACATTTTTACTACTCCCTCCCCCAGCCACTATGTATCACGTTGTCCTTTTTTACATTGAATAAAGGAACCTAGCCCACATATCTCAGATAGTAACAGCAGACCTTTTGGGAAAGCTGTAATGTTCTATCACCTTAAGTTCTAAAGATTACATGTGTACTTCAGGCCTCTCCAGTTTTGTTTCAATTACACAGTTCATGATGTGGAGCATTTTAAGGCAGGTCAGGAGTTTTTGTTTGTTTCTCTTTTTGAAATTGTTACTACTTGTAGTACCATCCATTTTAGCTAACATTTACTGAATCTGTAGGGTGTACCAGGAACTGGGCTAAAACACTTTCCATCCTTAGTTATCGAATCTTCACAGCAAACTTAGGAGCTCCCTCCTGTCATTCTGTCCATTTTGTAGTTGAGGAACTGAAGCGTCAGGGAGGGTAACTTGCCTGGGGTCACCCAGCTAGTCAGTGCTGAAGCTGGGGTACACTGTTTGTGGCTGGTGCCTGATCAACAGTTCTGAATGAGGGTGTGATGGGTTTATTTCATCCATTAATTCAGCTAAATGCTTCTGGGAGCTATTTTTCATTTTCTGTGATACTTTTGTTACCTTAGTAAGCTCTGTGGCATGATGGTTTTACTTAAACTTTGGTCAAAGGACTGAAGATGCTGCTTACCTCAGTCACATTTATATGACTTACCTTCAGATACATATATGTGTTTCCATTCTGCCCTTGACATTTGGGCTTTGATTTGGTATGTTATATTCCCTTGTTCATTTGGCTGACCTATGGACATTATTTGAAAGGTTAGATATCCTTCTCTAAAGATAGAAAGTATGTCCCACCAGGAGGAATGGGGGAAGGTCATTTTTTTCTCTACTTGTCAGAGGAAGCAAGATGTTGGTGAGGAGGGTGAAGATAATGCCAGGGCCGGGATCAGTGGTGGGAAGGGACCTTTGCTGCTAAGGAGCTATAATTTAATTTTATGCCTTGACTAAACTTGCCAAAGTATTCCAGCCAGTTGTTTATTAAAGAGCAGGACTGTGTCTATCTTGTTTCCAATAGTAGTCTCCCCCTCCCCAATACGCATATTGTTCACAGAAAATGACCTTTACATTTCTTTCCTGGGAAGATAAATGATAACATTTTGCCGTTACTCAGCATCTTGTTTATGTATAGGTGTGTGTATCAGCTCAGGATGTTGGCCCCAAAAGATGGTACTCTCAGATTGAGGAGACACTATCAAGGTGTGGGTGGGGCATAGGGGAACCCCTCAGGACAGTGTAGTACCTTCCTAGCTTGTGTAGTAGCAGCGATTACCAGCTGAGCTTGCAGAGTCAAGGGGCGGGTGGGGAATGGTGACCGAATCTGGAGATAAGCTGTGTAGAGAGAGCACCTTAAAAGACCTGCTACTTCCATCCAGGGGTACAGCCAGCGCAAGGTCATCCTAGCAAGGGAGGCATGTACCTGGCAGCAAAGGAGCCCTTCCATGCATTATATTCAAGTCACCCTCCCAGGCTAGAGAGCAGGGGTGAAGAAGGGAAGTAGATCTGAAGGGGTAAATGGATGACATCCTTGAAATTTGTGTTGTATTGTAGTTGTTGTCTTTAACACTCTTAAGTAGGGAGACCATGGAATGGATTGGTTAATTAAGCACATGGGCTCTGAAGTCAGGCAGACCTGGGTGTGATACCCTGCTCCACCACTTGTTTACTTGTCACCTTGGGTGAGTTACTTAACCTGTTTTGTGTCATTTGTGTGTTGGGTATGATGACAGTACCTGTCCAGTACATTCCGAGACGTAAATAAGGTAATGTATGTAAAACAGTCAGCACAGCGCCAGGCAGAAAGCACAGTGATTCTTGCCATTGTGTGTATTTCCTTATACCCGAATATAGGAAGGACACCCATTATTTCTCCTCATGTATATTTGTGCCTCCTTTTTTGCTAGTGTTATCTGAACTATTCCAGAGTGTTACTACTATCTGTGCAGTTGGAGATTGCATGTGTATATGCTCTCAAAGTCTCAAGTTTCCCGTTTTTAATGTCAGCTGTATCAGTCTGTAATTCAGTGAAGATAATGAAGGCTACTCAGTGTTAACACTGCCTCCCAGGGGACACCTTTAGCCAGTGACTAGACCATCTAGGGGAATCATGATCTGCCCCAACTTGGACCAACTGAAGGGCTTTCCTGACTCCAGAGCTCATATGTGGCTGAGGCCTTGGTATAGTCGCATTGCACATCATCATCTCCCTCTGCCCAATCCTCCTGTCTGTTTTCCTAGAAGGGTGTCTGCTGAACAACACTTCCTACTAAATTTCCTGCATGTCACTCTGTCTCAAGTTCTGTTTCCAGGAAAGCTGATATAATATAAATTCCTAAGAGTGAAATTTACCAGATCAAAGATTTTGCTATGTGTTGCCATGTTGTTTTTCCCCAAAGGATGTGGCCCAGTAACAGTGTGCAAGTACAGGCAGTTTAATTGCTCCTTTGTCGTAGCAAGTTGTTTAAGAAGTATTTTTGGCTCTTGTGAGTCTTAGGCTTGTATTTTGTGGTCTAATTGGAGTCAGAAGCTATAGGGACCTGAAACTAAGAAGTTAGCATGCCATACTTTCACTGATGCTGGTGGAAGATAGGAGCCTTCTGGGTCCGAGATGCAAGGGAGGGACAATATCCTTTCCTTCTGCCCATTTGAGATTCTTTAGTTGGGGTGTCTGTAACAAAAGACAGATTAACAAGAGAAAGTCATACACATTTATTTCATAAAAGTTTTATGTGACACAGGAGCCTTCATAAGAATATGAAGACTGAAGAATTGGTTGAACCTGAGTGTTTTTATGTTAGGTTTGGTGAAGAGTGGAAAGTTGTGGAGAAATAGGATAGGACCAAGTGGTATGAGCGAAAAGTAATAAGCTAGCAGAAATTTAGCAAGTCCTTTGTTCAGATTCCTCTCTGTCCCTTCCTCTTCTGAGATAAGGATGTTGCTTTCCTCTGAGTGTAGGGGGAACACCTCTCACGTGAGGGTTTTATGACCTGCTTCAGGGGATGGTCAGAAAATCCTACCTGCATGTCATTTTTCAGATTCCTCCAGCATAAAATACCAGTATGCCAGGATGCTATATTTTGGGCGTAATGTGTCCTGAACACCATCAGAGACAACGGACTTACCACAGAGAAAGCAGCACAAGCATCAAGTTTGTATCATTTCTCTTTTGTTCCCAATTCCTATGAGGGATGACATGAAGTGACCCAGGCGGATGCTGCGCACCCAGTGGATTAGCATCACAGCTGAGATCTCCTGATCTTAGGAAACTGGATTCTCAGATAACGGACCACAGGCAGACTTGCCTTCAGCCCCAAGAGAGGCCTCTGTATTATGCTGGACAGTAACCATATCTGCCCTTTGCTTTAGAGGAAGACCTTTTCAAGGCTGCTCACTATGCAGATATCCTTACAAAGATGGTCCAGGGCAAAAGGGCAGTTAGTGCCTCACTCGAAAAATGTTCAGGAATGTGAGCCCCACTGAGAATGGTTTCCTAACTGGAGTTTTGCCATGCATATTATTTGTGGCTTTAGGCAAGTCTGGCTTTTTTTCCTGAGCAGTAGTTTCTCATCTGCAAAATAGATGAAATAGATAATTTTGTGGGTGTGTTTTAATCCTAAAATTACAGAACCTCATTAATGAAAACTGGATCATTAAAATACAGAAACAGTTAAATTTTAACCATGCATGTAGATACAAAACGCCTATGCTCCTTTTTATATTAAAGTTATGGTGTCAATGCAAAGCCATGGTAAGACCTCTGAGGGGCCAGTGGTCCTGCTCTGAACCCAGTCCTGGCCTCTAGGGATTGCCTGTCTCTGAGTCCCTCATTTGTCTTAAGTGAAAGCTTCTGTGAAGTTGGAGATGGCATGTCTATATGGTGTTCTCCTGAGAGAGGTGATTTACTTGGGAACTGAGGAGGTCTCATCAGCCACTCACTCTATAAGGAATAAGACTGGACAATTGAAAGGGAATCCCAAGTGCATAGAAAAAGCTGAACAGCAAGTTCTGTGCCCAAATTTAGATTCCCTCAGGGATAGTTGGTTCTGAAGTAAGTGAGCTGCTGGCCGGATTAGAGGGCCAGTGAGAGAGGAACCAAAATCACAGTGGTTCTCAAAGGTTTGGAACTCAGGAGCTATTTACATTCATAAAAATTATTTAGAACTCCTGGAGAGTGTTTTACGTGATTTATATTTGTCAAAATTTACTATATAAGAAATTTTAGAAATTATTTAAATATTCATTTAAAAACAAACTCATTACATTACACATTTTTAATGAAAAATAACTTTTTCAAGACAAAAAATTGAGAAGAGTGGTACCATTTTCTATTTTTACAAATCTCTTTAACATTCTGGCGTAATAGAAGACAGCTGGACTCTGAACACCTGCAGTTGGCCTGGTAAAGCATGTTTTTGTTGAAGTATATGAAGAAGGTCCACCCTCACACAGGTGATACAGTTGAAAAGAGAGGAGTATTTCAATGGCCTTTTCAGGTCATTCTTCTTTGGTACGATTCCTCAATCAGTAGTAGTTTCTTAAGAGTAAATTGCAGTGTGGAATCTGAAAACACCAGTGAACTTTCCATTAGTCTTGGTCTGTCTTGTATTCTAAATAGATCTTTTACCCATATATGATTTCTTAACATCATGCATCTGTCATTTGGAAAATGAGTTGTATAGATTTTCCCAATGTTAACTCATCTTGTTATACAATATCAAAAATCACATTCATTAGTATCACCAGAAAAGTTTCATCAGAAAAGTCTTTTAAGTGTTGGGAATCTATCA